CCCAGCCCTTACTGTGTTTCAAGAGGAAATACAGATAGAAATGTTTTGGGTTTCTATGAGTTATTTGTATTATAAATCCTGTCTGCAAAGAAGCACTTTGCACTGTGCCTTAAATCTAATACCCTCTTCACAAATTGCAAATGATGAGCCTTGTAAGAGCCCATCATTTATTCTTGTAAAGTGCATGTAGAGACGTTTGGTGAAGCTGTTTTGCAGGCTGGGTTGTTCATTTAGGTAAGACTTTAAAAACAAGCTAGTACTATTTTTATAAAGGGAGGGCCAGTAAAATAACAGTAGTAATGACACTATTTTGTGTTGTACCAGAGCTCTTCCTTTTTGTGAAAGACAAAACCAAAACATGCAGAAGAGGAGCCGGGGGGGGATGTTAAAGACTACAGTTTCACAGGCAGGAAAAGTAGTTTCTTAGGGCTGCTTCCAGTGTGATGCTAGAAGAACTGGAGGGTCGAGAGAGGCGTAATTATTGCAGTGCTGATTCTTTAGCATAGAAAACAGAAAAATGTCAATGCATTTTGATTAGCTCAAGGGGGCAGGGGCGGGGGCAGGGCAGTCGGATCAAAAGCTCTGCGCTGTGGGTTCTGCACCAGTGTGGTTGCCTAAGGTTGCCAAGGGCTTTACAGCCCATCCTTCTTTAGATGTTATGTTGAGTGACCACGGTCTTGCGGGGGTACAGTATGTGTCCTGAAGTCCCCACAAAGACATTGGTATTGCTTTTGTGGCATGCCTGTAGTGCCAACCACACACGGGCTAGCAGTGCTGTTCTCGTAGCATTTTCATCCTGGCAAGAATGACCTGACTTACGAGCTGCCCCAGTGGGTGGGAACCCTTCCGCCCTGTGCCTTTGGGCTTGCTGTCACTGAAAGAAGGGGGTATTGGGTGCTGGATCTTGCTCCCAGGCTCCTGAATTTTATCAGATGAGCATCTAACATAAAATACAGAAGCTGCTCACTGTAGCAAACTGCTCAAACAGAGAAAATGGTGTAGTTTAACACAGGCTCCTTTGACAAAGCCTTTCTGATAGGCAGGTAAAGGAACATAGTAAGTTTTGCTTCCAGAAAGATGAGGAGAAACTGTCATTGACTGCAGCTGTCTCTCAGTAAATCACCCTGAACTGGTGTGATAGTGCTTGCAGCTGCCTGCTGAGTCTGTATTTAATGATTTCTCCTTGTGTGACACCTAAACATCTCTTAATTTTTAAAGACTTGTGGGTTTGTTTGTGTTAAAAACCCTGAAGGGGTGAGAGAGAGAGACCAGAACCGTATTGAGGAGTAGATAACTAATCTTTTTATCAGTTCAGAAAAGTCACAGTAAAGGTATGTCAGTCTCCAGAATTTATGTTCATCTTCCCTTTCAAAAATGGCCAGGTCCAGAATATCTCCATTCCTGCCACGTCGGACCGTCCTGCTGTTCCTCTGCAGTTACTGATGCTGATCTTGTTCTCAGCGGTCACATCGTCCCACTAACCCTGTATCTCAGGTCACTACATATGTGTCATGCCAAGAGGAGTTTCTCTGCATAATAATAGTAATAACAAAAGTTGAAAAAACACCCGGGCCTGTTAGGATGATCAATAACCCGAACCTATTTTCTTCTCACGTACAGGTTGTTTCCAGAACCGTGGAAGAAAGCTGACGGCACTGGTCTGAGATGACCGCTGCGAGAAAATATTATGCTGTTCTCTGCTTTGTTCTCTGCATTTTACTAATGACTATCTTTAAAAGCTGGATGTATATTGACAGATTTATAACAAAAACTGAAATGAAGGAAGATAATTGCTGCGAATGGAAAGTTACCAACAGCACGATCGCAGCCTTGGAGGATAACAGAACCTTTATCGTAGCCCCGTACTTTGATAACAGAGAGAGCAAAATCACCCGAGTGATTGGGATTGTTCACCATGAGGAGGTGACGGCACTTTACTGCTGGTTCTGCTGCCAGCCCGATGGGGAAGTACACGTATCTAGGGCAGACATTGATGTCCACTCGGATCGATTTGACTTCCCGTACGGTGCAGCAGACCTGCTCTGTGCAGAACCCCCCACCTGTGATCCGAGCTATGTGTCGATTCACTCGTTCCCTAATGGAAATATTGAGCAGCTGCCCAGATTTGAAATAAAGAACCGCAAGCCTGAGCCCTTTTCTGCTGACTTCACCGTGTGCATCTCAACCATGTTTGGAAACTACAACAACGTCTTACAATTTATACAGAGCATGGAGATGTACAAAATTCTGGGGGCCCAGAGGGTGGTGATCTATAAGAACAGCTGCAGCCCCCTGATGGAGAGCGTCCTGGCCTTTTATATTGCAGAAGGGACCGTCGAGGTCATTCCCTGGCCCATCACCTCCCACCTCAAGGTGTCTCCTCACTGGCGCTTCCCGAAGGATGGGACGCACATCGGTTACTACGGACAAATCACCGCTCTCAATGACTGCGTGTATCGCAACATGTACCGGAGCAGGTTTGTGCTGCTCAATGATATCGATGAGATTATTCTGCCCGCGAAGCACCCGGATTGGAAAACCATGATGAGGAGTCTTCAGGAGCAGAATCCAGAAACTGGCGTTTTCCTCTTTGAGAATCACATCTTCCCCAACAC